CCATACATTTGCAAACCTCAGCTGTTTCCTATGATTCCTTTATGTTGCAAAGTTTGGCTGCCAGAGCAAGGTATATTCCTGTGAATAAAAGCATTGATGTGCAGCTTTAATATTAATTAAATACCTTATTTATTAAACATATGTTGCCATCTATTTAAATTCTCTAGAAACTTGCTTTTGAACACTTGTTAAAGACATAAGTATTAGGTGTTAACCTGAGTAGATCTTTATAACCTTAGTAAAAGATGGCTGCCAGCCACATGGCTGCCCATGAGGCCACCAGCCAAGATGGAGGGAGCCACGTGGTTGCTGTTTAAAGCTCATTTTTCTAAACAATAACTACTTGCACACATACAAACAGTTGGATCCAAGTTACACACACACATACATACAGTTAAAGCTTGCTTACATTTTCAAGTCACATACCTGTCCACATACACACATAAGCAGTTTGCAGAAACATTAGCCATTCTTAAGATAAAAACCAACAAGAATTAACTTTTAAATTCAGTATTTGCAGGTATAAGAAACCATAACAAACAGTTTACATCACATCCCCTCTGACCTTCTACAACCTTTCATATACCCTCAGTCCGTTCCTTTGATCCCTCAGACATTTACTCTAGACAAATTTCACTTTTTCTTTTCCTTTAAAACAGAAACTCTTACCAAAGTCTTTCTTGTGATTTCCTTCAGTACTCTAGAATATATTGTAAAGTTACAATATTTTAAACAAGAACAGAAATACATGCATATACCATAACAAGAATAACTCTCAATTTGCATCAGCACTGTACCACAGACAAGAAACTGTTGGTGACATTCCATTCTTGGAGCCAGACCTTGATCAGGTTTTAGCCCCAGGGCAGATCTTGGGAGCCCCACCCAACAGCATGGAAGAGAACGGGGAAGGCATGCACCATGGAGACAAAAGAATACAGCAGACTGAAAGTGACTCCATGCCCTGGCTGGGCCCGCAGACCTGTCCACACAGGAGCCCAGCCAGAACCTGCCGGCCATATCTGGGCCCCACAGTGCTCACAGTCCGCTCTAGCACAAAGCCATGCCTAGTTCTCATGCAGCCAAGCCTCTACTCCACAGCTTTTTGAGCGAGCTGGGGCCCCGAACCCGCTGCATCTAGGCCCCGTGATGCTCATGGGCTACCTAGCCCTCTCAGGGCGCCCTGGGTCCCCAAAGTAGCAGATGTGCAGCTGCTGCCTGCTGGACTCATTGCAAGCTTTCTGCTGCCTGCTGCCTGTGCTCTGGTCAGAGAGAGCAAGGAAGCAATGTTATGTTAGTCTGTGCCGGTTCAACCACCGAAGGGGTCTCCATCCCTTCTGCTGGCAATCCGGCTCACAAGTCCGAACACATACACAAACTCAGGCATAAAACACTCACACATGTGGCCACAGTTCTCACACATTTATACATTTATATAGGTATAACGAATCACACTAACGAACAAGATAGGCAGACAAGGGCCCTACAGAGGGTCCAGGCAGATGAGAGTCTGGAGAGGGAGCCTCTATAATGCCAAAGATCTACAGATGGGACAGGGACAATTCAACAGAGTCTCCCAATCCCCAGACGGACCCCTCACAGGTGTCCAAACAGACGGACCCCTCACGGGCATCCTAACAGACAGATCCCTCTCAGGCGTCCTATGACGGGGGGGGGGGGGACCTGTGAGGATCCCCGCGTCCTGATGAGGGGTTGGAACGTCTTCCAACTCCTCCAGGGTCATCTTACAGGCGCGTTCGCCAAGGTAAGCCTGTCAGATTCAACTGCCGGCTTCGGATAAGAAAATGAAAGTAAAAGGAAAGCAAAGACAAGAAAATGGAGCGCTCTTACCGATCGGTGCAGATGGACCTCTGGAGCTCTTAGGGGTCCCGGCGGGGGATCTCTGGGGATCCCGGAGAGCCCCCAAATGTTGTGCCCAGATCGTGACCCCCAGAGAGACCACCAAAGATGAGCATGCTGGAATGCAAAAGCAAAGGTTTAATTCTGGATATCCAAAAGCAATACAAGCCTAGGCAGGGACTTCGTCCAATACATCCAACGCAGTGGAGGCTGGAGGAAGTCGTGTTTCCTATTTTTTAACATGGGAAAAACTCTCTATCTCTCTTTCTTTAACTAATTCATGCTTTTAAAAATCTCAGTTGTCTCAAAAAAATCTGCTGATGTTGACAATGAATTAGTGTGAGGCTAAGATTGCTGTACAGCACATCTGGGCAGAGAACACAGGTGGTACACAGCCTGGCCGAGAACAGTTGTCCCTGATTACATGTCAGCAGCCTGAGGACAGGGTTCAGGGAAAGACCACAACCCACAGGAAAAAGTAGCCAAAGATCCAGCAGTGTGAAAGGCAGATACAAGTGATCCACAAAAGCAGCACATGTGATTGGCAGGAAGTGAAAACAGAGCTGCCTGAAGACAGAGCTGGCCAGATGTGAGGGACTAACTCCAGTGGCTTTTGGAACCCAAGTGCCTATTAAGTTTGGGTTTTGTGTAGGTTGCTGTAGAAAAACTGCAACAGGAAAATCCCAGACCCACCCAGAAGGCTTGGGGAGGAAAAGGAAAAGCCAGCCGGCCACATGGCAACTCCAGTGTGTGAAACTTCCACAGAGAGCTCTGGTGAATGGCTGTGGCTGCAGAGCCACAGGCAAGGGCCTAATTCCTGAATTCGTGCCACCAAATTTGAACACCAGATGATGTGTTAATCTAATCTTTATCAATCAAAAACCAGGAGTTGTACTAACTTTGGCAGCACATATACTAAAATTGGAATGATACAGGGATTTAGCATGCCCCCTGCACAAGGATGACATGCAAATTCGTGAAGAGTTCCATATTTTTTGAAGAAAAAAAACCAGGAGTCAAATATTGGGGCAAGAACCTGAAAGATGAGAGAATATGGAGCAGCCCCCAGTTGCCTCCTTCCTCCCCCATTCCTTCCTCCAAAGGGCTGAACTCCTCTCTGCCCCACCTCACCACTTCCTGACCTCTCTGTCTACAGTCCTCCAAATCTATGGTCAGTAGTGGCTAGCTCCACCTTCTGACTCAAAGCAAGCTTTATTTGTTAGAACACAATCAGAAAACCACACAACAGAGGTCCCTGAGGGGGAAGATGAGGAAGCATCTTCCAGATGACCAAGTTCACCAGCTTAGAAGTGATGACATTTGATTCAGAATCAATCATCTATATCATTTCAATGCCTTTCAAAAACATTTAAAGGTTTTATATATTTGTGGGTGAGGCATGGCGGTGCAACTACACACCTGTGGATCTCTGAAGGAATCTGTACTCACCTTCAATCATGTGAGTCCTGGGGATGCAACTCATGTTCAGACTTGGCAGCAAGTGCCTGTATTCCCGAGCCATCTTGCCTGTCCAAAGCCTCTCCTATTACCTGCTGTGTTATACTGATTCCACATTGACTAAACAATGGAGAGCTGCATCATTTTTTGATGCAGAAAGTGCATCAGGCCACTATTTGGCTTATATCCAAATAAGTGGATATAAGCCAAATAGTGGCCTGAACACCTATGCAGGGCAAGATTTATCATTCCCATTTTACAAGTGATGATTCAGAGGGCTTAGAATATAGCTCAGTTCCTAGAGTGCTTGCCAAGCAAGAGCCCTGGGTTCCACCTCCAAAACCGATAAATTGAGTGCCATGGTGTACACCTGTAATCCCAGCACTTGGGAGGTGGAGGCAGGAGGCTTGTTTTATATTATATAATTTTATAAGTGGTAATTGATATTTGTGGTTTTCCTGGTTTTAGGATTAAATATGTGTTGGTTTATTTTACGTATAGGAATGAGTTGGCATCCCATGTCTTCCTCAGTCACTCTTCACCATGTCTTTAGAGCCTGGGTCTCTCACTAAACTGGACACTCACCTTTAGCTAGTCTGACTGACCTACAAGCTTTGGGGATCCATGATCTCCACTTAGAGAGTAACTCCCAATAGAGTTACAGATGCCCAAGCACACTTTGATTTTTACATGGTCTCTGGGCATCCTAGGTCAGGCCCTCATGATTGTATGTCAACCACTTCACCAACTGTGCCATCCCCCCAGCCCACAACAACTAATGTTCTTATTATCAGTGTGTTCCAGCGATTTGGGCACCCAATGGACTTCTGTGTCCTCTGTCTCTCAACTCTGAGTCTACACAGATGCTAGATGCACTGTTGTCTTTTGGTTATAAATCATAGGGATTGGGGTCTTGAGCTCTACTCAATTGCATTTCTTCTTTCTCTCCAGACAAAAACAACCTCTGTGAGGCTGTGAGGCCTTTATCTGCAACTGTGAATGTGAGGCCACCATCTGCCTCTCCAAAGCTCCATACAACAAGCAGTACAAAGGCGTACACTGTTAGACTTGTCACCTCAGTTACTGTACACCATCCCTGCCTGCCTGGTTGTCTTCACTACACAATGTACCCTCTAATAAAGCACCTATGGAAAGAGCTCAGCTGTGGTGATTGTAGTCTCTGTCTATGGAACATAACTAGATCCTCAGAGAACATCATTCCATCCAGCTCTGGAAACTGAAGATTAATGGGAAAGACATTGCCATTAGGGGAGCACCTTGAAGAATGGGTGATGAGCCTGGCCATTCCTTTTATCCCAGTACAGTGTGATGCAGATGCAGAGGTGGGGAAATCTCTGAAATTCAAGAGATGGTAGGATTGTTGGGTTATTGAACTAAGAGGTCAGTTTGTCCCTGGCTGCTGACTGGAGAGTGTTCTCAGCTCCTCAACACAGAGACCCACAGGGCAGCTCACAGTGTGATGTCTGCCTGTCCTGACAGTGAGAAATGAGCAGGCAAGCAAGGCAAAGGGCAATGTCTATAGAACTCAGTCCTGGGGAGTCAGCCCAGCCAGGTACAGTGGTGTTCATTTGTAATGCCACCACTGAGGCCAGAGTTTTGCTTCAAAGTCGGAAGCTAGCCTTGGTTACAGGGCAACTCCCTGTCTCAAATTGATAGACACCTTCCTGCTCAGGCCTGGCTGCCCTCTGATGTCCTCATGTGTACCATGACATTTATGCGTGCTCCCAAGTGCTTCCTTTCAACCTGTGTTTGGGCAAACACATACACACACACACACACACACACACACACACACACACACATACACACACACACAGATGTAGTGGGTAGCTATTCCAGCTTGGTTCTGGAAGTTCCAACCCCCATTGAGACTCTGGCAACTGTCACGCCTACGAGGAGGGGCCAAGGGAGGCGCCTGAAGACCCGAGACCTGGATGGGCAAGCACACGCTGTGTTCCTGGACCCTGGACGGTGAAGGTTGACTGAGCAGAACTCCAGAGAACACCGCTGGATTGCGATACACCTTCCCCAGACCCCCGCAACCTATCTATTCCTTCATTTGTAAGTCATCCACTAAATAAATCTTCCTTTTAACTACGTGGAGTGGCCTTTATAATTTTCCCCAATATCTGGCGCCCAACGTGGGGCAAATTCCAAAGGCCTGGGCGGCTCCTGCCCTCAGCCTCCTCCCCAACTGGCGGGTACCTAAACCCGCCTGCAAAGTTCCATATAACCAGGGAATGCCTACACAGTTCCATTCCCGAAAAGGGGAGCAGCTAGTCCGGTCTCAGCTCCCTAGCTTAGCCCCGAGACCAGTGAAAAACAGCTGCGAGGGAGGTATCCGGCTCCCGGCTCCCGGCTCCCGGCCATCCCGCCATCTTCCTCCAGCTGCCGCCAGCCAAGGTCACCAGCAGGCCCTGCTTTGGAGCTGTGCCAGCACTGCCTGCTGGTGGAGAAGCGCTACTACATGCCCCCCATACCACAGAAAGGTAAGATAAGCAAACCAGCATTTTATTTCAAGTAAAAGTACTTGATAATTTAACATCTTAAAATTGACTAACAAATTTTGAGTAATTCTTGTAATATGGCCCACAACATTACCTCACAAGAATTTAAAAACCTTTTTGCCTGTATGATGAATGACATTCTCCTGGAAATATATGACCTTCCTCAGGCATATTTGGCCTGTACCATTTTGGCATTCATCGTAATAATTCACACAGTGTTCAAACACTGGTTTAATAATAAGAACAAAGATGAATCATTATTGGGACTGATACAGGCTTTAAAAGATAGCAATGAAGGCTTACAGAAAAAGATTCTCTTTCTGGAATCTGCTTTAAAAGATAGCAATGCAGGCTTACAGAAAAAGAATCTCTTTCTGGAATCTGCCTTCAAAGATAGCAATGAGTGCTTACAGAGAAAGATTCTCTTTCTGGATTCTGCTTTCAAAGGTAGCAATGAAGACTTACAGAAAAAGAATCTCTTTCTGGGATCTGCCTTCAAAGATAGCAATGAAGGCTTACAGAGAAGGATTCTCTTTCTGGAATCTGCTTTCAAAGATAGCAATGAAGACTTACAGAAGAAGAATCTCTTTCTGGAATCTGCCTTCAAAGATAGCA